ATATTTTTATATTTATTTCCTACCATTTTTCTATACATTTAAGATCACGATACTTATCATATTTAATAAAACTAATAAATTTTTATCACACTTATCATTATTTAAAAATAGTAAAATGATTGATAAGAAAATGAAATAGGAAGATAATAAAAAAAATTGAGATATTTAGTTTCACTTTAGTTTTTATCAATAAAGTATGTTACCATTTAATATAACCTTTATCACATTAAATGCAATATGCTTTGTTCTATTCCTTCCCAACCAAAACCAAGATTGTTTACTACGACTCAGCATTTTAGTTTAATATGGTTTTGCATAATTTTTTTATTATAAAATATACACTTTGTTTGAGACAAAATTGCATATATTCTTCACATCCTCTCCTCATGATGATATATTCACTAAAGAACTGTGTATATAATTGTTTAATGACTTTTGGTTCAAGTTTAAGGGGTTATTTGTTTTTTAAGAAAAATCATTTTTGGCCACTTTTGGTTGCGTTACACAATTATTTGTTTTTCAGAAGACTTCTAACTTAAAAACCGTTGTACGTGTGCTATGTGGTGTAAAACTGTCACTCCTTTTGAAACCACTTCTCACCTTATTTTAAGTTATATATTAAACATATATTTATTTTATTTTTTTCAACATGTTTTTATTTTAATAATATTATGAATGATATTATAAACAATTTGAGTGTACTTTCATAATTTCAAAACCATTGGGTAATTTTACATAAATATTTTTTTTGTGTTACGTTATCTATAACCAAATATTAATAATTTATAAAGTTAATCATTAAAATTATCAAATTTATTGAAGCTAGCCTGGAAAATAACGATTATATATGAATATTTAACAAAATTAACATGTTGTTTGCTAAATTAACAATTTATTTATTATTTAGCAAATATTATGTTTAATTATTTTATATAAACATCTTTAAAAATCATATCATCATAATAACCTTTATATTTGATTTATATACGATTAAATTAAATAAAATTTTTATTTAGAATTATTTTTAATTATTATGTGGTTAATTTCAACTTATTGCAGCAATCTGTAAACGATAAAAAAACAAATAAATTTCTAATTACAGATTACAGTCATTTGATCTACCTCTTCTGTCAAAGGAAAATAAAAATATAGTCCGCATTAAAAAAATCTGTTTTGAAAAAACAAACAACATGATTGAACATATACTTTTAATAAAATTATGGCAAATGTACATTTATATTTCAATATTGTGATGGATGTGATAGATTTTAATGATTTTGTAGCATACCATGTTAGGTTAGTTTAATATATATTTAGTGATGGATGTGACATTGTGATTAGACCCCCTTAAAAGTGGGGTCCATCTCATATTTAAGGAAGAAAAATTAAAAAATAATAATAATTGTGTAGTATTCTTGGCAACAATTTTTATTGAAAAAAAAATAATAATAAACCCATAAAATTCAAAAAATTTATCAGTTTTATATAAGATGGACCGTACTTTTGGTTTTGAATCTGCAACTACATATATTAAGTTCCTATATATTTTGGTTATCAACTAGAGATAACTCTCACAAAAAAATAAGATTTAACACATCGAACATAGATTTTATTAAACTATGAAATCGCCATAATATCATACCCTCGTATGGAAATGTAAAAACACGGACAAGAAAATCACAAAAATATGCATAAGTAAATAGCAAAATACATACAACACAATCATCAAAAAAAAGTAAATTTTATCATTGATTTTAGTTCCTCTTCAACCTTCATTTGTTTCGTAGTCTAAACCAGATATGAAAAGGGGGATGGAGAAATATAATTTCAATAATACCATTTGAGTATATAGGTTTGTAGGTAGGACACATGACTTGTTATTCATAGAATTTGTATATATGTTATACCCTTTACAAGCTTGGTACACCGGACAATGTCAAGTGATTAAGATGTATGGTGATGATAACTCATTGGGTAAATATTACAAAAGACATTAAGTTTATATTAAAATTCTAATTTGACAATGTGTTTTCTTGGTCTTAAATTTTACACCGTTTTTCAATTTTTTATAATTCTGACCACTTGACATGTCAACCTGGTTACCTGATAATGTGATATGATGGTTTGTTAGTTTTGATGACGTGACATGCTGACATGACATATTGACATGTTAAAATTGAATTTTTTTTCCCATAAAAAACACTAAGTTTTAATTTTTTTCGATTTTTATATTAAGTTTATTTTTGTCTTTCAATATTGACACTCTGCTTTTTTGTTTCAAATCAAACATTATTTTTTCAAGTTTTGTTCAGTGTTGATTATTTTCCATTTTAAAACATATAAATATTTTTTTAATACATTTTAAACCGTGTAAATACATTTTTTTTAATTTAAAAACGATATTTTTATATAAATACAATGTTTTATTTAGAAAATTTTGTGGAAAATGCATGATCATCCATACAAGGAAGATTGTGAATCAAAAGAACGTGAGAGGGTTTAGGGAGAGCCATGTTTCCAATCATCATATCAAGTTTGGGACGAACATATTTGAATATAGTAATATGTTAGTGTATCTTACATTTATGCTACATAAACAAATTTAAAAAGGAACACTTTTTATCAAGTTAAACAAAGTACTAGTTATTACATGCAAGGTTATCAAAATCAGGATCATACTTAGGATTGTTTTTGGGTTTGCAAGATCGGAATCGAGATCCTAAGATCCCACAAAATAGAATATAATTTTAATTTATAATATTTAATCATGAAAAATATTTCAAACATTTAATTTTTCGTTCAAAAGTTATAAAAACTTTGAAATACTAGTCATAAGTCACAATAAAAAATGATAAATAGTAGAATGGTAAAGGGTAAAAGATATAAAATGGTAAAAAAAAATCATTTGCAAAAAAAAAAAAAAAAAAAAAAAAAAAAAAAAAATCAAGGGAAGGTAGGATCGGATCGGATCTCGATCCTACTTGCGATTCTAACCCAAATACGATCCTTTTATGATACGGTTTTGACAACCATGATTACATGTATATAATGTAAAACTTTGAATTTATAAAAGTAGAAGTTAAGCAAAAAAAAAGTCCACCATCACATCACTTTTCCGTTGTGTGTTTTGCCCTTATTTATGTAAGGTGCTGTGTGTTTTTCTATAAAAACCTCTTCAAACCACTTATTGTTGCGCGGCGCAGCACACTCGCAGCACTTTCCCTCTCGCAGCAGTTTGTTTTTTTGAAGATTTCAGACTACAAAACCTCTGCACGTGTGCTGCGTGGCGCAACACTTGACTTACCTCTTCTAACCTCTTCACCTTTCATTTTTTCTAAGTGTTTTTTTAAGAATTTTTGTATAACTTTTTTTTTTAAATTTTGATTTTCTTAAATTTTTATTTACTGATGTGATACAATTTTTTTTATAATTTCCACGATTTTTTTTAATTTTTTTATTTTATTAATAATATTTTCAATTTCAGTTACATTTTTTTAACATGTGTAATTTTTTACGAACTTTGTAGACAACGTTTGCAATATTTTCTTAATTTTTATTATTTTCTTTTTTAATGTTTTTTTAAATTAGTTTTTTTTTCTAGAATAAAACTATTAGTTTATTTTACATTTTTTTATGTTTTTTTTTTAAAAAAAAAGTTTTATATTTTTGTTTTTTACATGTTCTTGTTATTATTATTTCAATGTTTTAAGACTAGAGTTATTAAATTTCAATGTTGAAAATTATATTTAGTTTATAAAATTAGTTTATTTAAATTTTAGTTTACTGCAGCAGTCTACAGATGTTAAAAAACAAACATACTTCTTATTATAGGTTGCAGCAGTTTGTTCTACCTCTTCTGCTACAGAGGATTGCAGAGGTGGTCTGCAGACTTCATGAATTTTCGTTTTGAAAAAACAAACATCACCTAACTGAATCATCTCTTGGGTAATACAAATGTATAAAAGGAGTACAATTCATTCTTGAAAGAAAAAATCTGTTTTATATATTATTTATTTATTTATTATTATTATTATTATTATTATTATTATTATTATTATTTATTTATTTATTTATTTTGCAAAGAACATAAAGTTTTATGAACAAAATTATCCTTTTTTTGCAATATGTCTTAAAGGACATTCCTGAATTATTGACATTGATAATTTGGATTTTTTTTTTTTTTTAATTTTCAGGCAGTTTTATGATGATACTAATAGTGTTCATCCCTATGATGATTTTAGTGGATAAACATTTCCTCGTGGGCTTATGTGGAGGGGCAAATGCATTTTATTGGGAGATATGTTATTACAAGGTTTTGTATTTTTTTTTTTTTGGGAGATCATAGATCTCTTGAAAAACTGAAGAAGCAACTCATGTCATGTCCATGTAGAGCCTTTACTGAAAGCTAAATGGACGAGGTGACTTGCAAAATTCCTATAGGTTTTGAAAATTTAGAATGATCAAAATGTGACTAGTGTAATTCATGTTGAGTTATGTTGTGATGATATGGTTGTAATACAGATTGCAGCTGACCCTGTAAATAATTTATCAAAAGCACAAGGTTTTTTATGACTTAATTAGGACTTCAATTTGAATTGGCTCCATTGAATGAATGAATGACTGATATTGGGAAACATCGGTATCTGTGCAAGAAATAAAGATTTTTAAGGGGAAAAGTTAAAAGGGACGGAGTTATGTTATATCCAATCTTGTCATGGAATTTTGGGAATCATCTAAAATGGCAATGCAGTTACCATTGTTTGTTTTCTGGTCCAGTTTTTGATATCTAAAATGTAAGTGGTCAATTAATAAAGGTTACCACTAGGAGCTATAATTTTATAAATGAAATTCACATTCTTTTCCTCCGTCAGTGGTGGCATTCTGTCAATTTTCTCTTTCCAATATTCCATTGAATGCAGATTAGATATTAATGCATTTTTCCCCAAAATAAAATCCATCAATTTTACCAGATTACACTAGCACATAATTTGTTAAAACTACTCATATATAGAAGGACTTGAAAAGCAAAGCAGTTAACCCAAAAATGACCACCAAATGTTATGTGTATTACTCCAATTATGTAATAGTGTGTTTGTGTGATTCACATCACATCACATCACATCACAGTATGTATCAGAATGAAAGCAAGGAATTCAAGTTCTGATGAGGAGTTATTATTTGTAAATGGAAAAACAGTTAAAACCAAACAAACTTTCAAAGGGAAACTCAAAAAGCAAGTCTTATTGAATCTAAGCCTCCCATCCTCTTAAGATGGTAGCACGTGCAACCCTCTCCACTCCCAATGCGAATGCTCCCATCCTAAGGCTGCAATTGTGGGTGTGACACATGTCCTTGATGTCACGGAAAGCTTGCCTCATGTATTGTATCAAGAATTTATTCACCACCTTTTCCTCCCACATAAACCCCTGAATATTCTGTAAATTTCATGCAATTCATTAACTAACTACATATAAAACTGTTTTTTCTTCTAATTTAATACAATACAATACCTGAACCCACTCAAAGTAGCTAACAGTCACACCTCCAGCATTTGCATAGATATCTGGAAGTATTATAACGCCTTTGTTATACAGAACCTGTGTTGTATCAAATAAAGACCAAAAATTTTCAAATAAAGACCAAAGCTGTAAAAGACAAGTTTCTGGGACCAAAATGTTACCTCATCTGCTTCAGGATCAGTAGGATGATTTGCAGCTTCTATGATGAACTGGGCTTTAATATCGTCAGCATTTCCACTTCAATGGACAATTTCAAATTTTAGAATAATGAAAAATCAGTATTTAAATATGGTAGAATTATTGAAATGGTAGAATAATGAACCTGGTGATAACACCACCTAAGGCACATGGAATCAGAACATCACATTGCTGAAATAGCAATTCATCAGGATCCATGGTTTCTCCTCCATTGAAATCGCTTAAGTCCCCCCCTGTCTCTCTATGTTTGAACAATTCCACTATATCGATACCATTTGGGTTCTTTATAGCTCCAGTGATGTCACTCAATGCAACAATCTTCCCACCTTTTTCGTGAATCATCCTTGCAGCCCAAGACCCCACATTCCCAAAACCCTGTAAAACTCAACTACGTACATGGTCAACACAATAAAATCTTGAGGACATGAATCCTGTTACAACTTACATGCAACAATCGTACCTGAATAACAAAAGTTGAATCTTTGATCGACTTCCCATGTTCGTTAAGTAACGCTTCCGTGGAAATAACTACACCATACCCAGTTGCAGACTCTCTTCCAAGGGACCCACCAAGTTCCTAGTCATTAAACAAAGAAAGGCTATGAATATTCCAATTATAATTTAATACTATTATATATAAATTTATAATCACTCTCACCAGTGGCTTTCCGGTGACACAAGCTGGTGAATAACCATGGAATTTCGAATACTCATCCAGAATCCAAGCCATAGTCTGTCATTAATTATCCGAGACATGACTTAATTAGTAAGACAGCTGGCAGATCGTATTAATTAATTCTAATTGTGTGCAAACCTGAGAATTGGTGCCCATATCTGGAGCGGGAACGTCGATGTTTGTTCCGATGAGATCTTGAAGTTTTTGTGTGAAGACACGTGTCATACGTTCAAGCTCAGACTTGGTTAAGTTCTTAGGTGTGCATGCGATCCCACCCTTTGCTCCACCGTAAGGAAGGTCCATCACAGCAGTTTTCCAGGTCATTAGTTGAGCCAAGGCGTTGACCTCGTCAAGGTTAACCTTGAGAAAATTAACATATACCAACCATATCAACCAGTTTCAATTTCAAAGCCATATTCAATGACGCCAATAAATAGAAACACAAAAAATATAGATCTAATTGGAAAATGATTAACCGGATGCAATTCACCAAGGCCAACCAACTTCTGAAAATACTTTGAAAAAGGAATCGTACTTAAAATGCCTTTTTCAGAATGTAGATCGGAGAACCAAAGTAAACATAGTCGGTGAGAAGTATGATGAATCGTGGTAATGAATCGATTGAGCAACACAATTAAGAACTGATAACATCAAATCAAGCAAGATGAGATAGTTGCGTTAATTTTGATCAGATCGCGATTTAGTTTGGTTATATTGTTAGGTTTTGCTGATCATAAACATGTTTTGCATGGCATAGGTTATGATCCAAACAGTAAAATAGCATTTAACAGACATAATTATCAACACAAAAATTAATCAATTAACAACAGTAAAATTAAATTTATATTCCAGACATGATCGGAGAAGTAGAAATGCATTTGACAAACAACAATCAACACAGGAAGATTGCATATCAATCAACACAGTAAAATTCTCACATATTCAACGAATCAACAGTAGTAAAATGAAGTTGATATTGCAAACATAATCGGAGCATGCAGTAGAATGCGGTTTGACAAACAATCAATACTGTAGTTCGATCAACAGAGTAGAATTCTCAATAACACAGCAAAATGCATATCAATTGCAGAGATGAAACAAGAAGTAAAATCCTGAAAACTAAATCTAAGTTATCACTAAACACAACCATATGACACAGAAACAAAGATCAAAAGATGAATCAAATCACCTTAGGATGATATCTGATTCCTCCTTTCATCGGACCACGAGAATTATCATGTTGAACTCTAAATCCAATATAAGAAACCAATGATCCATCATCCATCGGGATTGAGCACTCCACCTGATCGAAAAACAAAAGCATCACATCAATACTCGATAGCATTCTAAATCAGAACAATCAACTACTTAAAAATCATTTCTACGCACCTTGATTTCTCTAAAAGGGATCAAGAGACTCATCTCGAGCTTTTGATCTACGTTAATCAGACGACAAGCATGACGGAAGTTCCTAGTCGTTGCAGCGAGAGCATTCATGGTGATTGTCTGTGAGAAACAGAGAGAATCCCACAGGTCCGAAACGAAATAGATTGAAGTAAAAGAGTAATGCGGTTTTCGAAGAGGATTTTCACAAGAACATTAAGAACAAATTGAGAAGTTTCTGCAATGTTTGAAGGTTAACTCATATTTATATGTGTATATCTGAATTTGCGTGGTTTAAAGAATAAACCCTTATTACTCAAAGGGGTTTCCATTTTTGTTTTCTTTATTTCTTTTAGAATTATTTTTAATCAGAGAGTGACATGGTATGAGTATGTTCGTAAGTTAGTTGGAAAATCACGCGACTGGGGTTAATTATTTTTTTGACCAATTTTTGTCTGAATTATATATCAAATTAAAATATTAATCCTGTCACAATATAGATGCATATAAAACAAACAATTGATCTTGAACACGTGACAATTTTATTATAAATAAAATAATATATCAAATCCAAACAGTTTTTACAAGAGACAAAAATAGCGGTCCTTCCACGTGGCATGTCATTTATGGAGCATTGACTTAATTTGGTGTAACAGAAAGCAGTGACGTAAGAAGTTTGTTAGCACGTTTTGCGTCGCGTCATCTCCGTTTCCAACTGTTTTCAAAATCGTTCTAACAAATGGATTTGGATGATGATTTCTTAAAAATTGGATTTATATAATTTGAAAGTCCACTCCACATTATATATACTTGATTTTTATCTTGTGATTATTTCATATTTTAAAATTAAAATTAATTTGATATTTTGATTAGTTCTTTTTTTTTTTTTTTTAATTTCTTCATTTGCATTTAAGTATAAATGAATAAACTTGTTCAAATTTGTTGATTAGTAATCACAAATATGTCTACAAAAAAATATTTAAATCCAAGATGTTACTTTGTCACATTGGTCGATTATAGTCAAACTATGTCCTCATATCAACAAACCTTGATATCACGCATCATTTCCTCGATCTCCAAAACTTTGAACACTCCCATTGCTCGTCAACAATAAAGCTTGAGTAAATTAAATGTTGATAAGACGATAAAACATATGTTTAAAAACCAATGTCATGGTAACAATAATGGACAAACGGGTTTACCCATATTGATTTTTTTTTTAAACAAAAAATTGAAATACAGATTTTGTAGCTTGCTAAAATTTGAAATAAAAAGGTGATTTGAATTTTTTTTGTTCTTTTCGCTGTTGCCATTGATTTGGTATATTTATCCAACTCAAACAATAGATTAATGCACAATTAATATGAAAGTATATTGGGTGAATGGGTGTTCGATGGGTTGCAAATGTGAACGGAAATTGGCTTAATAGCACCTTTTTTTCTCTATTGAGTGTGTAGAGGGTTCAAATGTGAATCGAAATTGGATTCAATTAAGCGAATTTGAGTGCGAACGTGCATCAGGCAAACACGAAAGCAGCACCTATCGATCAAAAAAGTTTAAGTACATTTTGTCATTTTTTTCTTTTCATTTTTGTTGAAAATAATGAAATAATTCAATCTTATATTTATTTGTATTCTTAAAGGGGTTTTTTGTGCTTGAAGTATTTGTTGTTGGTTTAGACTGTAAATGCAGGAACAATGCGCGGATCTTCTGATATGGGTCAAATATATTCGGGTTGATCCATTCATGTTACTGAGATATAAAAGAAGAGAGAGAGTGGAGATATTTAGCAGATCATCTTCTTCAGCTTGAGAGAGAGTTAGGGTATTCTCTAGTTTTCTTTGTTCGTACTTTCTTTGTTCGTACATCTACTTCTCTCTGTTCTTGTGTATGTTAACAAGTTATTGTAATCTCTCAATCGTTTGTTGATAGATCAATGATCGGATGTTTCTTATTGTATGATCTGTTTAGATTAGGGTTGAGTGTGATTGAGTGAGAGTAGATTAGGGTTTTGTAGTGAGGTTTCAGTTGTAAGTACATGAAAACCTTGTGTTTCTTTGTCCTAAATTGATATAAGAAATGAAGATGTTGGGAAAAATATCTTGTGTGATTTCAACATGGTATCAGAGCTTTAAGGCTCATGTTCTTTGATCCTGATGCTTCGGTTGTTGTTGATCGTTGTTTGGTGATCTTGGTTCTCAACGATCTAAAAAGGTATACCGATTCTTTTATTTTTTAGTTGAATCTGTTAGATCTAGGGTTTCGTTTTCTATTTACCCTAGTTTGTTTTTTGGATCCTGGTACTGCGAGATGTTTGATTGATCTTGCAGATTGGCGCTTCTTCTCATCTATTTGTCGCTGCGATTACAAGTTTGGACAAAAAGGAATACACTCTGAAAGCCATCGATTAATCCCTTTATCTGAAATAATCCTCTTGGGGTCGGATTTCATCACCGATAAACCCTTGTAGGGAACGGATTCAGGGAGTCGATTTGGAAAAAACAACATCGCTTCCTATAGCACTGTGAGGGTGTTTTCTTCTACCTTCTTCTTTGTTTTCGTGTATACTGTGTTGTTCTTGGCTGTTTTTGACTCTGTGTTTGATTGTATTAGGCCCCGACATACTGTGGTGACCATCTGGACTTTAAGTCAACATAGGGTCTGTTATTTGTTCTGTGAATTGTTTATTTGTTATTTGTTCTGTGTGATTTCTGTGATTTACAATGGCAGGAGACACTCCTGAAGGGAGTGGTACTCCTAAAGATGGTACTACTGCTGATTTTGATGACCCTTTATATGTTCATCCTTCTGATTATGTTGTAGCCTCAATTATAACCATTAAATTGACTGGAAATGAAAATTATCGGTTATGGCGTAGTGCCATGTCTAGAGGTCTGAAGGCTAGGAATAAGTTGGGTTTTGTGGATGGAACTTTAACTCTTGAAAAAACTGATGTCTCTAAAACTTCTAAATGGGAGCGTGTTCATGTTGTTGTATGCAATTGGATATTAGGGTCTATTTCTGAATCCATTTATGCTAGTCATGTTTACTCTGATAAAGCTAAGGATATTTGGGACGAATTATTTGAAACATATAATAAGGCTGATGGATCTGTAGTCTTCAATATCCATCAACAAATTAATATTTTAAAACAGAATGGTTCGTCTCTTTCCGATTATTATAATAAACTTGACTCTTTATGGAAGGAGTTTGATGGTTTAACTAGTTTAACTGGATGTGTATGTGAGGCTGCTACTAAGCTTAATGATCATTCTAAATTGATGAAACTAATGCAGTTTCTGAGTGTTCTTGATGATTCATATAATCAAGTAAAAAGTCATATTCTTTTGATGGATCCATTACCAAATGTTAAATCTGCCTTTTCTATTCTTTCTAGAGAAGAATCTCTTCAAAGGAATGGGTCTTTAAATTCAATTGTCCCTTCAAAGTCACAGGTGTCTGTGTTTAATAGTAAAGTTAATGATTTTAAGAAGGGACAAGGTCAAAACAGGATCAGAAATCAAGGATTACAATGTAAACATTGTAATCTTAAAGGTCATACGATAGATAGATGTTATAAACTGATTGGTTATCCAAAGGATTTTAAATAGAAAAATGAAAATAATAACCAAAATAAATCCTTTTCTGTAAATTCATCTTCTGTCAGTTCAAATAACAATATAGTACGTTCTTCTGAGTCTGTTCACAATAGTGATGCTCACTATCTTACAAGTGAACAATACTCCAAGTTTCTTCATCTTATTAATGACAATTCTACCAATGAGGATGTATCTGCTGCAACTAATATGGCAGGTACATGTTCATTTACTTGCTGTAATTCTATTGTCAGTGTAAATAATTCTCAAAGTTGGATTGTTGACTCAAGGGCAAATCAACATATGATAGCCTCTGAGTCACAACTTTAGGATCTTCTTGTTAAACATCCTAATGGATCTTCTGCTCCTATTAATAAAATAGGGAACATTCAATTATCTTCTCATCTTACTTTATTTGATGTATTTGCTGTTCCAGACTTCAATGTTAATCTCTTATCTGTACACGAGCTTTGTAAGGATAGTGGTTGTGAAGTTGTATTTTCTGAACATAATTGTAAAATTCAGGATTCACTGTTAAAGGAGATGGTGGAGAATGGTAGGGAATCAGGGGGTCTTTATTACCTTGATCATGTTCCCTTAGGTAATTTTGCTAGTTTAACTGTTCCTAAGTGTTTTGTTTCAAAATTTACCTGGCACAGTAGACTTGGTCATCCTGCTGACCAGGCTTTAAGTGCTCTAAAAGATAAACTGAATTTTGGAAATGAATCCTTACCTCCTTGTGATACTTGTCATAAAGCAAAACAGACTAGAGAATCTTTTTCTCATAGTCAGCATCATTCAACTCAATTAGGTGAATTGGTTCATCTAGATGTTTGGGGTCCCTATAGATTGGCTTCTGTTGAGGGTTATAAGTATTTTTTGACTATTGTGGATGATTTTTCTAGGGCAACTTGGGGTTTCCTTTTAAAATCTAAAAGTGAAGTTTTTGATTGTTTTAAGGTTTTTGTGAATATTCTATTAAATCAATTTGGTGTTAACATTAAGACTATAAGGTCTGATAATGGAACAGAGTTTGTAAATAATCAAATGAAGTTTTATTGTATAGAACATGGAGTCATTCATCATACCTCTTGTGCTTACACTCCACAACAAAATGGAGTTGTGGAAAGAAAGCATAGACATATTCTTAATGTGGCACGATCTCTTATGTTTCAGTCAGGAGTTCCTGTTAAGTATTGGGGAGATGCAGTTTTAACTTCGGTTTTTTTGATAAATATAATGCCTACTTCGGTTTTGAATGGGTTATCTCCTTATGAACTTGTTTTTAAAAAAACTCCTAATTTTGATCATTTAAGAGTTTTTGGCTGTCTTTGTTTTGCTGCTAAACAAAATGTATCTGATAAATTTTCTGAGCGTGCAGAAAAATGTGTTTTGTTAGGATATTCATCTGATAAGAAAGCTTATAAACTTCTAGTATGGATACTAACTCTTCTTTTGTATCCAAGGATGTGAAGTTTTATGAGTCAGTGTTTCCGTACAAATTGAGGTCAACTATTGTTAACAAAACTATTAATACTTTTGGCCCTAGTGATCCTTTTTCCTATGATGACTTTGATAAAAATGAATACTTAAATGATTCTATAAATTTAGATGAACTGAGAGTGGAGTCACAGGAGGATGGTATTAATGCAGCTACTAACTTGGATGACAGTGACTTAGTTGAGTCAGTCAACCGTAGTGGTGAGGTAAATATGCCTCTTTCTGCTGGTTCTATTCCTTTATCTTCTGATATGTCTGAGGAAAATAGTCATATTTCTTCAACCCCTTCAGTAGAGTTGTCTATAGGTGCATCTAGGTCTAGA